GTGGTTTGCAAACCATTCAAAAGTGATCTGAAGTGCAAGGGAAATCAAAAACACAACAAAGAGGGGGGGGGAACTCCAATACTGCTTCCATAAAATATCATGTAAAGTTGATAGCTGAAAAATCAATGTTATCTAATATTCAGATGGTCAGGGCAACAATCTTATGAACTTACTTGCAGGTAAGCACCCTTGAATTCAGTGGGATTTACGTCTAAGTAAACATCCATGAGATCGTGTTGAAAAATGCTTCAAGACAGAGGCTGTTTTTTCAGGGATTTTTCTCTCTCTTAAAAAGCAGCACAGCAACCTGTAGTGTCATTGAATCATAGAATAACGGGGTTGGAAGAGTCCTATCCATCAGGTCAAACCACAAGCTCAGTTCAAAAATCCAAATGAAAGTAAACCTGACATATGACTGTTTGACTTCCTCTTAAGTGCCTCCAGGGTTGGTTCCATTGTTTTACTGCTCTAATAGTTAAGGGTTTTTCCTAATACTATACCAAAATCTAACTTTCGGTAACTCCAGCCCTTTATGTGTCCTGTACTCTGGAATGATGGAGAAAAGATTCTGCCCCTCCTCTATATGACCTTTCAAATATTAGAAAAGTGTTATTATATCACTCCTCAATTTTCATTTCTCAAGGCTAAGCATGTCCAGTTCTTTCAGTCTTTTCTCATAGGACTTGGTTTCCAGTACCCTTATCATCAGTTTTGCTCTTCTCAACATACTCGTTGTCTGCATTCTTTCTTTAACAGTGGTGTCCAGAATTGACACAGTACCTAACCAGTGCCAACTCAAAGAGAACTATACATGGATACTATATTTCTGTTACTGCACCTGAAGTAGCATTTGCCTTTTGTACAGCTATATCTGTAACAATTCCAAAATCTTCCTTGTATGTAGTCCTCCTGAGCAAAGTATTCCCCATTTGTAACTGCATTTGGTTTCTTTTCCCTATGTGTAGAACTTTGCACTTGTTCCTGTTAAATTTCATTCTGCTGTTTTCAGCCCACTGCTCGAGCTTATCAAGATCTTTTTGAATTTTGTTCCTTTTTGAATTCCACCCAATTTTGTGTCATCTGCAAATCTGATAAACATTCCCTGCACTTCGTCATTCAAGTAATTAATAAAAATATTGACAAGAACAGGGCCCAGGACTGAACCTTGTTACCTCTTCACAGTTTGAGAAGCCACCAATAAGCATTCCCTGAGTACAATTCTCTAACCCAGTGGTTCTTAACTTTGGGTTACTCAGGTGTTTTTGGACTGCAACTCCCAGAAGCCTTCACCACCAGCTGTGCTGGCTGGGGTTTCTGGGAGTTGCAGTTCAAAAACACCTGAGTAACCCAAGGTTAAGAACCACTGCTCTAACCAACTGTATCAACCTGATAGCTGTTCTATTGAGCCCACACCTAGTTAGCTTGCTAATCAGAATATTATGGGGCACTTTGTTAAAGGCTTTGCTGAAGTCTAAATATATTACATCTAAAGCATTCCCACCATCTACCAGGGAGGTTACCCAATCAAAAAATGAGATTAGTCTGGCAGGATTTTTTCTTGACAAATATGTGTTGGTTTCTAGTTATTACTGCATTGCTTTCCAAGTGCTTGCAGAATGGCTGCCTTATAATCTGTTCCAAAATTTTCCCTGGGACTGATGTCAGACAGAATGGTCTGAAGTTCCCAAGTTCCCTCTTTTTACCCTTCTTTGAAGATAATAGACAGTGCTTCCGAAAGTTCTTTTACCTGTTCCTTCAATACTCTAGGATGCAGTTCATTGGGCCTTGTAGACTTGATCTCGTTGACAGTACTAAAGTATTCCTTGTTTATCAATCTCAAACTGCAATCCTGTTCCTTCCATTTGCACTTCACATTTGCCTTGAGGGTCATAGACTGTCTTTTGAGACTGTTATTTAAGTGTTATAAGAATTACCTATTATACAAACTGCTAGATAGCTCATTGGTTTAGGCAGAAGTTGGGAGTTTGATTCACAGCTGTGCTTCTGGGGCTGGACTCAATAATTCATAGGGTCCCCTCCACCTATGCAGTTTTAAGATCATATAATATCAAAAAAGGGAACATTTGTGGGCGGCTAGAGCTACTTTATCTGTGTATTTGTGTTAAGAAAAGGTTTAAAAAACTATGTTAAAATACAAAGAAGCAAATACTGCAAATGAGTTCCTTAAAGTAACAAATTACTTTTTAAAGGTAACATTCCACAGAAAATTGCCTGAAAACAGCACAGAGAAGGCTAAATTAGAATCCTTTTCTTTCTTTCTTTCTTTCTTTCTTTCTTTCTTTCTTTCTTTTTCTTTCTTTCTTTCTTTTCTTTCTTTTCTTTCTTTCTTTCTTTCTTTCTTTCTTTCTTTCTTTCTTCCTTCCTTCCTTTCTTCCTTCCTTCCTTCCTTCCTTCCTTTTTTTTCTTTCTCTTTCTTTCTATTGATTTTGAAATACGTAGAAGTACAAAGGAAAACTACAGAAAAAGGAGAGGCTACCTACCTGTAACTCTGGTTCTTCAAGTAGTCATCTGTGAATTCACACTACAGTATAGGGTTTAATCTGAGCTTGCAGACACCGAATCACACACAGAGACCCATGGATTTGGGACTCGAGTGTGCCAATTGGAAGATAACTGTCACCTCAGCCGAGGTGTTGGCCCAAGATGGAAATTCGGCAAGGAGTGGAGACGGTGGTTGACTGGAAAGTGGTGGCAATAATTAACATCCAGAGTCAAGGCAGACAGTTGGCTGATCCTGTAGAGGAATTGTTGACCCCCTTTTATAGTTTTGTCAGTTGTCATATACTTTTTAGCAGGTTGGGAACCCGGAGAGGATTTCTTGGTCTTCTTAGGTCTGGAGTGTTCCAGTACCAAAGGAAGGTTTGTTTTGGTATCGACTCAGTTATCAGTGCCGAAGACCTAGATTTAGAAGTGGACTTAGATTTCGATTTAGAAATTGGTAGCTTCAACGTTGGGAAGCGGTAGGCACCTCAAGGGATCCTTTATGATGCTGAGAAGTTTGGGAAGCCTCCATAGTTTGTGCTGGTTGTAGAGAACGTTCCCAGAGAAAGGATTTGAGACATTGTTGTCAGAGCTTGAGAGCCTGTTTAGTAAAGTTTTCGCAAAACTGGCAAAGATGGCTAGTGAGATTCCCCGAGGCAGAAGAGACAAAGATCATGTCTTTCTGAGAGGGGTATCTTGTTGGAGCACGAGGCGTACCATTTAAGAATAACAAGGGCCATAAATGGCAGGGACGGAGGGGAAGGGGAAAGGGTGGGGCAATGAAAAGAGGGAAAAATAGCTCTAAAAGTCTCTTACAATTTTCCCTCTGTATTTTTATTTTAGGAAGAAATCAAAAGCAGTGGCAAATGGAGAGGTCGACAAGAGATGAACCTCAGCAGCGGCAAAAAGGAACTGAGACGGTTGGCAGGATGGGCAGACCATGTGTACTGGGGGGTGGTCCTGGAGAACGCATGATAAAGCTCTAGAATATTCCAGAAACCTCTGTACAAGCACAAATTAAACCCTATAGTGTGCATTTACAGAGACCACAAAGAAGAAGAAAAATGTTCATACATTTCATATATATCAAGGACAACTGACAGTCCATTTACTTAGTTTGTGAATTTTGCCATTGTGGCACTCTCACACATTTTATCTTTCCAATCTTCTACTACACAAGTAGAATTCTTATTCTCGACATCAATTTTGCCTGTGAAAGGAACCAATTCCCTTTAGTCTTTTTCCATCCACTGGATCACTCAGCTCACACCAACTGAAGTGGCACGGTATATGCACAAGTTTGCCACATGAACAGGAACGAGGCCAGCAGCCAGTGAAAGTCAAGAGCTTCTCAATCCTTCAAAAGAAAAAAGAGACAGACCACAGGGGTCTCATACAATCTCATTAGAACTAATATCAATATATGACTTTGAAATAGTTGGCTAATGCTAATGGATACATGAAAGCCCAAAGGATGCCTTTATTCTTCATTGAACCTTCCTCTTATTCTCACTGTAGCATGACTTCTCACTACAGTGTGGCTGTTTAAGAGCTCCTAATACATAAAGCCATAGAATTCAAAAAGAATGTACAGTATTCTCTCTGTGTGTAAAAAAAAATCTGTGACCTTTCCAGTGATGTTGGAGAACCTGGATTTCAAGAATGAAGCCACACTCCCCCCCCCCCCCCCCCCAGCTTTTCTTCTTTTTCTTCCTTCTGCAGATCTGGAAGGGACCCTATACATCATCAAGTCCAGCCCCTGTCAAGGTTGCACAGTGAGGAATTGAACTCCGAAACTCTGGCTCTGGAATCAGATCTCTAACCACTGTGATATACAGCAGTTAATATTCCACTAATCCCTGTACAGTTTTTCCTATTAATGCTTTCCAAGCAGTACATTAATGCTAAAACTACATGCCAGGTTGTTATTAACTGCACATAAGCTTAATTTCGAATCCTATTTTCAGTTTGTTTGTCAGAATTTGAAAATGCTACATGGCATTATTATTGCATAGGTATTTGTCCTATGATGACATTTCAAATCATTTATTGAGATACCTTATGGGTTCAGCTGCAATCTTCAATTTTGCATAATTTGACCACAATGATCAGGCCCTCGATTTTGACAAAAGGATATTCATTGTTGCCCAATACAGAAGGCAAACCAAGATTATTGTGACAGGTTTATATCAGAGCAAGTATAGTGGTTGGACTCTCTGAGTAGATCTCTGAAGAGTCAGATCTGAGGCCTACCCGAGCAGCCTTGGGTCAATCACTTTCACTCAGCCTGATGTACTACATTGGCTCGCGAAGCTCAAGCAAGGCACAGAACCACATTCTGGAGGAAATATGGTTGTTAAAACATTTACATAATGTAAACATACCTGTAGTAATAAAAATGAAAGAACCTGCATTTCTCAGTTTCCTGTGAAATGTAATTATCATATGAAGACACGTTTTTAACCTGTAAATTCAAAAAGTAAGAAAAAGCACTTGGGGAGGTTTTCAACAATTTAATGAATACTCTGTTACCAAATACTTTGCTTTGGAATACAAACATTTGGAGGAAGCACACACAGAGAAATCAAAATAAATAAAAAATAAAGACCAAGTTAAACAGCAGATAATACCAAAAAAAGGCAGTCCATCCAATAATATAACTAAATGCCAATATAAAACTGGGCATAAAATATTCACCACACATGAGACAGAAATCGAGAGAGAGAGAGAGAAATCAAAATAACAATAATTACTTTTCATTCCGATTTGAATTAGCCTCATGCAGGCTTCATTTAAGGGCCAACAGTGTTTTACGCTAACTGGAAATAATGCCACACAGAGAAGACACGCCAAATGGACACGGAGGCACTAGCAAGGTCTGCCAAATCTGTGCCCTTCCCACCCACCCCAGGGGCAAAACCAAACAAGCCTGATCCCATGGGCCTAAGAACAGCAGGATAATGGGGCCGGGCTCTTCTTGATTAAAGTGCCTTGCTACAGCACAACATCCAAACCTCAAGGAAAGTTATGTGCTACATAACAGCACATCTGCAAAGGGTCCAAGAAGATTTTTGTTGAAAATGCAGCGGATCCAGACCAAGTAGTTCGTGAATGGCTTGATGTTATCTGAAAAGGTGTGGTTCTGATGGGACAAGATGTAAGGCATGTATGTGTTCTCCCCTTGCTCCTGTATCCACACTTCATATTTCACTTCCCGGACCTTCAGGTATTTAAGGTTCCAGGGGATTTGCCATGACACAGAGAGTTTGGCTTCACTGGTACCCTGGACAGAGGCTTGGCATTTGGCATCTCGGACTTTACCTGGGTAGAGACCACTAGTCCATTTTTGCCTCTTAGGCCCAGGCTTCATTTTCACTGTTTGCCTGATCACCTGGACAAGAGAAGCAATGTTAATTTTTGTGTCCTGGTAGATGCGGAAAAGCCACTCTGGGTTACGGCAACAGAGGTGGCGGGGGACTTCTGTGCTTTTTATGATGCGGTCTTGCTCAGCCTTGTCTAAATGGGCAATTCCTCCTTGATCCCAGGGTCTATCTGGGTAAGTCACTGTATTCTCCTTCTCCATATTCTGCCAGGCAATGTACTGGAGGTCCATACCAGGAAGTGTAGACAGCGTTTTGTAAGGTGTGTAATGTTCAGGGTTGATGGCGTAAGGGAAGAGTTCCACAACAGTGGCTCCCCTTGGCAGGAAGAGAGACATGACCAGCTGGGCTCCATGCATGCTGACCAGCATGGATGCATTACTAATCAAGCGTACAATATCTGAAAATGTATGGTCTTCTATAGAAACTGTGATGGTTTTCATCTGAAATTCCTGGGCAAGCGCCAAGATAAGTTCTGCCTCATTTAGAATAAGTCTATTTATAGTACGACTGAACACAACAATATAATCCTCACTGGGCATTCCTTCAAAGCTCACATTCAGCTTCTCTATCATGAATTTAGTGAACTGTTGGATCTCATTGCCAGAGACCAGGATATTTGCCTTTGGACCTTGGGGCTGAACAAAACCATACTGGTACCACGTTGTGATTTTCGACAGTCCCACATATGACTTGGTAAAGCAAAGGAGTCGCCCAAGAGTTTTGAGCTGTTCTCGTAGGAGGGGCTGTTTGTTGCTCAGCAGCCTGTACAGCTCAAAGTGAAGTCCTTCACCCCATCCTTCCATGAAAAACAGCCTGGTCTCCAGATCCAAATCTGGGAACTGCTGCATGGTATAGAAGATTGGGAGGAGATCATCATGAAATACATGCATCAAGTTGTCTGGGTTGAATCTGTTGACAATCAGGGCCACATCTGGGACAAAAACAGGCTTTGGCATGAATTTCAGGGCAGCAGCTGGCAATTCTACAAAGTTGAAGTACTGGGTGTTGTGGTCCTCCACTGAGGAGAGGTCAAGCAGGGCAGGCTGAAATCTTCGGGACCCCAGATTTGGAAGCATGATGGAGGCATTGCTGTGGAAGAAGACAAATTCCTCGGCCTCTGTAGAATAACAGAGGGACTCAAAGCGACAGATGCGGTCAGTGTGCATCCTGCCAGTGCATACCATCCGGGTGCCATCTTCCACCAGGGCTTGAAGGGCAGCATGATAGTCAATGCGGACCTGAGAGAGTTCCTGGGATTGGCGTGTGAGAACCAGCTCTTCTTCCAGCACAAAGACGTGGTCACGCAGCTTAATATATTTCCACAGCACAGCCGCAAGGACAGACACTAGCAAGGCATTCAACACAGCTGCTATGTTCATTCTGGACCCTGATCCTAGCAAAAGGGCAGGTGATGAACACAATGGAAGAGGGAGGCATCATCAGTCCACTTTAACATGGTGGGGTAGAGACCTAAACATCAAAATAATAAAATTGAACAAAAAGAGAAAGAAACAGCCAGCACACAATTAAATATACTTCTCATAATGTTATTTTTGTCAGCAAGAGCAGCAGACTTCAGGTTTGTGGGGTTTACTTAGCTTCCTGTCAGAACCCCAAGGTCCCTGAAAAAGTGGAAGGAAAAGGTGAACATATTCTTAGAATTAAAAAAAAAACATGGGCACTACTGCATACATGTTCAGCCCAGCAATTTGGTATCAGTATGCACAGCTTAGTGCAATGGGTATTTGCAGCCTACCTTGCTTGACCTCAGTAGAGAACCACAATAGTCAGGAGACATGAGTTCAAGTTCTGATTTGGCCATGTAAATTTATGCAGAATGGGGTGACAATGGAAAGCCACTCCTTGATCCCTCGATCCTCTTATCCTACCTGTATTCACACCCCCTTCAAATATTATAGAGCAGGGGGCACCAACTCCTGGTCCGGGGACCAGTCCCAGTCCGTGGCCTTGCCAGGACCGGGATGCAGAGACAAATTTCCTGGGCCTCCCACGCGCAGATAAATGCATGCCCCTCCCACACATGCACAGTCCCTCCCATGCACACACAGCCCCTCCCACGCATGCGTGGCCACCACCACCCTAAACCGGTCTGTGGAGGCAAAAAAGTTGGAGACCACTGTTATAGCACTACAGTTCCCATTGTCCTTAACCACCAACCATGTGGGTTGAGCCTATTAGGGTCAACATCAGTCGGAGGTCACTTCACAAGACAAAACAACATGAGAGCAAGGCTCAGAACGGCATTGTACAAAGATCCACTCCCGGTTTTCACTCCAAACTTCGTTCTGTCTCTGTAGTTTCATTGAGACAAGTAGGGAAGCATCTTTCTTCTTGCTGCTGTTAACCGATTCGGAGTCCAAAGTGCTCAGGGACCTACTACGAAGGACACTGGGATCTAATGGTTGCCCACTCCTTCAGTAAAGCTTCACAAAGTCACAGCAAATATTCATTTCCCCCTATTAGATTTGTAAGTGGTTCAGCTTTCATTGTGAGAAGGAAGAAGTGAAAATGAATTTTAAAAGTACTCTTTGGGACAGGGACCAAAGACAGATCCCCCCCCCCAAATGTTGGAAATTTTGCTGTCTGAACAGCAAACATACACGCTGTGCTGCAGGCTGAGGCATCAATGCTATAACAGCCATTCCCCAGACTGGCTGCCTTGCAGATGTGCTCAGCTAATCACTTGTAAAAAGTCACTCCTGTGAGCAGGTTTTGGAAAGGATGGTGTGTTTACAGCAACCCTGCAATTTCTTGGGTTTCAATCAGACAGGTCGTTAGGTATTTTAATGAAAATTTAATGTTCAGAAAGACTATGCTGGAATATATCCTGAGTATTGAAGAGCTGTGTGATGGGGCTCAGCAACTGTACACCATCCAATTATCTAAATGAATCTAATAAATATTTATTATCTAAATGAATCTAATAAATATTTGTTACTAGTACACTCCAATTATCAGTCTAGAAGTAAACCATAATAATTTCAACTGAACGTATTTTTAAATATAAGATTACATCCTAAATGGTTGGACGATTCAAGAAGAAAAATCTGAAACTTGAAAAAGTTATTTTTTGGATTACAGGCCACAGAAAATCCTATGGAGTCAAGAGAACTAGAGTCCAAACATGTTATTTTCCCCAACCTTTTCTCCACAACAATGTTAGATGTTACCAAGCCCACATCAAAAGGGCTTGCAGTGCTGAGTGATAATGAATTACAGAGAATAAAGTAAAAAAAGGACAATACTGGCGCAGAAGGAGATGAAAGACACAGGCAGGTAAGTGACTCTCATTTCCGTTTAAGATAGGAAAGGTGCTTTTAAGATTTGCAAGAAAGAGGTGAACTGCAGGAAGAACAAACTATTTTCTTGAAAGAGCTGAGCTTAGCAATGTGGATTAAAAAAAAAATCAACACCCCTCTGTGCACGGTTGCTGCTTCCTGGTACTAGAGGAATATATTCCTATGAAGTGGAACAGTGCTAGGGAACCTGTAACCTTCTGTATGCTGCTGAAATCCAATTCCTACCAGGCTCAACCCACATGATTGGTGGTTAAGGACAATGGAAACTGTAGCTCTATAATATTTGGAGGGAGCACAAGTGCAGGCAAGATAGAGGATTAAGGGATCAAGATGCAGGTAGGGTAAAGCTATTGTTCTAGTAAAATTTATACCCATTCTGACAATCAGGTAAACGGAACCAGCATTATGTACTGCTGAAAGCATTTTGCAGCTGTGATACATAATTGCAGGTGGATGTAAAAAGACTTTAAAAATTGGCTCTATGTTTTGACACTCGTTCTTTTTATAAATTCATAGAGCTGTTAGTTATTTTCATCTGGGAGAGCAAAGGCTTCCTTCTACTGTGTTTGGTATGTGAGCATCTAACACATTAGATCCTCTACCATTTCAATAGGGTGAGATTTTCATCAAGTGCACTGTTAATCAAATGGTAAGTAATTGCAATTAAGGCTATGGGGAAATACAGGAAGGACATTATCTAACTAGTCTTGTATCTGATGGATTAAGTGGCAGTAAGGGAAGACAAAGGAATGAGCACTTAAAAGCTGATTTTGCTGTACAGGGGGATGAGTAGAACCATACAAATTTAATGGAGTCCAATAAATTAATATTGATCTTTTTGTATTTTAAGTCAGAAAACTCACTTTGGCTTCAGGAGATTTCAGTCTTACAGAAGTACAAAAATAATGGAAGACAATTTGTGATTAATAACAAGGATAATGGAAATGGCATAAATTAATTATACACAGTCACATAATAATTTATACAATTAAATTATTATACTACATGCGAGTATTTTGGTTCAATGTAATTGAGTTGGGGCTTTACACAATGTACACTGCCTGGTTTTTCATTTAATTTCAATATTTTTTTTAAAAAAAGTCGTATTATTGTGGTTTGATCTATTGTAGGTTATTCTGGGAAGGTTTACTCTAAAATGACACGTATACATCTTCTAAACAAAATAAATAAATAACATGGTTTGAGGACAGCATTACTCCTCGTAAGTGTCTCACTGATGTATTTTGAGAACTTATCAAAAGGCTGTCCTTCTGCCCAGGCAGCAAGTTCTTAATCATTATCACATTTCAAGAACTGGTCAAGCTCAGATTCAGAATGCTATTATAATCAATTTTCATCTAAATTTGCATTTAAGATGGGAAAGACAGCAATGTGGCTGAATGTACACCCCCTCCTACAATAAGTCAAAAAGCCATTTAATTTTCAACTCCGTAACAATACAATTTATGCATGCTTATTCAGAAGAAATGAACACTTCCGAATAAACACTACCATCCTCAGCTGGACTTAACCAACAGGTAAACATGTACTGTATATACACAATTAGCTGAAACTAAACACTACTGAACAGAATAGAACTGAGTTCTGAATAAAACAGGAAAGCGTTGCAATGATGAATACTTTTATTGCACATTTTTATACACATTTATTCAAAAAGGAGTCCCACTGACCAATAGGGGCTACTCTCAGGAAACTGGGTTACTCCTAAACGTGCTTGATATAAATAATTTTCCTGGAACCAAACAGTTACTCTATAGCAACTATAGTTTTGTGTCTGCCTGGAACATTTACAGTATGCGATGAAACTAAGGGGAAGAAGAATGGAAAATAGTACTGTGAAATCTTGTGTCCTGTGGATGAATGTGTGACTGCGTACACAGAACATTCAAAGTACATAAAGCAGTAACAATTCACATGGCCTAATGCAGCCTTCTGCATCCTGTGAACATGTGGCCTCCAACTCCCATTATCCAGGAGAAGTACTGCACAACATATCCAGAAAGCCCCGATTAGGAAAAGCTGATCTAATGCATGCTATTACAAAACTAACACATCAAAGCCTAAGCAGCCAGTGGAACTGGAATGGTAGTGATGTAGGCGGTTCTCAAGTTAAAAAGTCTGTAAGTCAAGTCTCCATTGACCTACAGTGCATTGAAAACCGATTAATCCCGTAACAGGCCATTTTTGTTCCATTTTGGTTTTTTTCTGGTCTGTAAGTCAAATTTCAGTCTGCAAGTCAAACCTAAATTTTGCGGCCAGAGAAGTCTGTAACTCAAAAAGTCTGTAAGTCAAGCCGTCTGTAAGTCAAGGGTCCACTGTAACACATCACAGCCTAAGCAGCCAGTCGAACTGGAATGGTAGTGATGTGCACACATCTGACTGGTCTAAGGACTGTAAATAAACTATACATACTTTGTAATGTGCACACATCTAATATAAGCATGACTATAAGTAACACCTACTACAATGTGCTACTGTTATTATGTGCCATTAAGTCACTTCTGGCTTATGGTGACCCTAATAGGGTTTTTGAGGAACATGAGATGTCCAGGGAGTGGTTTACCACAGCCACCGCTCACATGAACTCCCATAGCCAAATGTCGATTCAAACCCACATCTCCCGATTCCTAGTCCGATACCATTAGCTGCTACGCCACATTAGCTCTCCAAGTGTAACCATACTCATCTCTTTTTTAATGTGTGTAAGTACTCCTGCTGGTGGATTAAGGTTTCAAGGCATGGACAAAGACAGATTTGAAGCTGCTTCAGCAAAGGAAAAGTGATACCCACTCACCCTGGATGGAGGAAGGAGGAAAGGAAACCCTAAGGAGGCTTTCTTCCCAGAAAGTGTGCTCTGGAGGTTTCCTTTTACATTTTGCCTGTGAATATGACCAGCCTGTTCTCTTGACCCCTCCTGTACAGATTGTCTCTGAGCATGCACCATCTGCCTACAGTGTCCTGTTTCTCCAGCTGGCTCACCTCAATTTGCTAGCCTCCCCAGAGGTCCATCTCACATGCAGGAGAATCTGCTGCAGTATTCCTGAATACACACAAAAGGCATCAAAAGAGAAACAAATAGCTTGGTGCCATTTTACAAACCTGAAGTGTGTCTGGAAGACAGGCAGGAAGCTTGTTATGTGCAGGTAATTAAAGAGGGAGAGTGGCTGAGAGAGAAAGAGAGAAAAAGAAAGAAGATTCTGCATAAACACAGGAAGAAAATGGCAGACAGAAAGACAGCCTCAACCACGAAGAAAAGAGAAAGCAGTGGGAAATATTTTACATTTCAATCTGCTAATTCCTTGGTTCTTTGTAAGAGCCACTCTACCTAAAAGAGGTGGAGATATGGCTCAATAGAAACAATAAACTGCACATTTCCTTTGAGATTTTCATTTTTAAGCAATAGAAGTATTTTTGGAGAAAATCCATTTTCCCCAGTAGCAATCTTCCACACATTTGCTTAGGAAAAGGCGACTTTGATCCCTCATAAGAGTACTGGAAAATTGCAGTCTATGACAGTGGTTCTTAACCTTTGTTACTCGGATGTTTTTGAACTGCAACTCCCAGCCAGCACAGTTGGTGGTGAAGGCTTCTGGGAGTTGCAGTCCAAAACTCCCGAGTAACCCAAGGTTAAGAATCAGTGGTCTATGATATGAAATAAAAAAGAAACAGGAAAATAATCACATAATTGGTATTTTTATTGGAGGTGGCAAACCTGTGTCAATCTGTATGATTTCAGGCACTGGAGACCATCCACATAACACAAAGGTACTTCATGTACACTCACAAATGTATGTCATACATTCAAACAGACCATGTTTGAATGAACATATGTCACCTTATTAATATGCCTTTCAGTTGTGTCTGCAGTTCCTTCATGCCACTGAACAAACCAATAAGTCTTCAACTAATTATCACTCCCCAGTCCATTTACAAGCTCAATGTAAAGAGTTAGTATTAAAAATCAGTGCCCTAAACAACTTGGGATCAGGTTAACTGGAATAATACCTTCTCTCATATGTAACTATGTGGGTAGAATTGTGCTTTGCTGAATGGAACATTATTTGATCACAGGAA